CTTCTGCCACTGCGTGAGGTGCGGCTCTAGCTGTTGTGCTGTGTGTCAGCCCCCTCACTCGCCCCCGCCACACCAAGTGGCTCAAATGCCATGCACAACCCCGACCCTTGTGTGCTGTGTTTGAATGGGAATGGGGCCGAGGCAGATGGGTGGACTGTTACACGTCCCTCCGTGGGTGTGGTCAAAAGGGGGGTAGAGAGGAATATACTCTACCGTCTTATCCCGCCCGTGGTACGCGAATTATGACCCGCTGCGTCTCGCTAAAAACTATCTTTTCTCGCACTGCCCATCGACACGCGCTGGTCGTGACAGGATGACCTTCTTGTATGGTGTCTCCCACACTCGGGCCTGTCGCATGCCATGGCTGGGGGCACACGCGAAATGGTGTGGGCTCTAATTCGCTAACAATTAATGGTGTAGGGGGGTGTGACAAGAGTTGGGCCCCCGTTCATAAGCATACTTACAGCGTGCCCATTCACATCACAGACTGCTGCCGAGAAATGGTGCGATCGCTACAGTTGGCGCTTGATGCCCACCATCAGCCACCAGGTGGTCTTGAGAAATCCCATTAGCAGGGTTTGGATTTCTCATCCTCTTAATCCGCTCATACTAGCCGCATGTGGTTTAAGAAACCATTTTAATTGCTGGCCTACCTGGAAACACAGTTGGCGCCTGGTCAATCCCAGAGACCTTTAATCTGGAGAACTCCTTCAGTTACTGAGAACAATGACACAAACCTTACCACCTGAATGACCGTAATTCGGTGGACTTCTCTGCCTCAAAGCCAGGTCATGCCTAACTTTGTTAGCCCGTCGCTGAGCTCCTGCCTTGGTGAGCTTTAACATTTGCCGCGTGTGTTTTCCCTTACGTAGAAGCGCCGGGCGGCGCGCGCGCGGCGGGGGGGGGGGCCTCTTGGTTGAATCGAATGTATGAAGCATCTGTTTTGAGTTATTGCTTAGTCTTGGTTCTTCTTCCCACTTTGGCAGGCTGCCGACTCCACAAGCTAGGGGGCCCATAGAGAGACATTTGGTCTAGTTTCATCGGTTCTGGTTTTCTGACCTGGCAATATGTGGAAAGCTGAGGGTTGGATGCTGTGTTCGTGTCAGCGCATGGAGTAGTGTTGGTGTGGTGTATTTGTCGCACCTCTGGCTGTTTCTCTGCTGGGTACTAGAGGGGGAAGCTCATCTTCCCTGTACATGTGGCCCTTGCTCACGTGCGTTCCATTATACTCTTTGAAAGGGCCACAGAGTACAGTGCTGGCTTGAGGCTCTCCTCCCCATCTCACCCACTGGAGGAACTTACTTTCTTTATTTACACCACCTGTCTCTTCTATCCTGAATTTCGTTTGCCTCCCCTTAAATAGAAAATAGCCTTAAGCCTAAGTGTCTGCCTTGGCTCAGCGACATCATCAGAGCCTTAAAGGAGAGAGTTGGCAGAAGAAGTTGTGACACAACTTTTCTTTGAAATTTTTGAGAAAAAAATCTTCACAAATATCAGTAAGCGTTTAAGGGCTAAAAGAGGCAAGAGAGAGTTACGGTGACTGGATTGAGGACACTCCCCCGCCGCCCCCGGCCGAATCCATCAAGGGGTTTTGGCCTCCTGCTTCCAGCCACGAAAAATGGCTGCTTAACCCACATGCTCAACGGGGGAGAGAAAACTTTTGGCGTGTGCGGGCGGGATAGGTTTTTTGGGATTTCGGGCGCCTTTGAGAGTAAGCGAGCTGTTGACAAACAAAAGGGGGTTATATGCGGGCTGTGTAGAGTTAAGCTAGTTTTTTTCCCAAGCTGTCCACACCATTGCTGAAATAAGAGAGCCATTTCTCTCGTTTCAAAGAAGTCAAGATCTTGAGAAAGTCATCCACAACTTTTTATCCTCCGTTCTGGACTATTGCAACTCCCTGTACACTGGAATTAGTCAATCATCAGTGTCCTGCTTGCAGTTGGTCCAGAACACAGCAGCAAGGCTCCTGAGAGGTACTCAGAAGAGGGCCCATATTAGGCCTATTCTGGGTTCTCTCCACTGACTGCCAGTACAGTTCAGAATTGATTTTAAGGTCCTCCTATGTCCATAAATCCCTTCGTAGGCTGGCTCCCTACTACATTGCAGACCCCCTAACCCCTTATTCTACATCCAGGTCTCTCAGGTCTGCTGGCTTCTGGCTGTCCAGCGTTCCAAAGTGAAGCTCAGGGGTGACTGCACCCTCGATGTGGTTGCCCTTAGACTGTGGAACAGCATCCTCCCTCAGATCAGACCTGGCCCCTCCATTGACTTTTAAAGTCCAGGCTCAAAACATAATTCCATTCTCTAGCATTTGAATCCTGCTAATGTGGCTGATTGTATTTTTTTTTATTCTTGTCTGAAGCCTATGCCTATGTGTTGTTTATCTGTACATATGTGCGGTGGGACATTTTTTATGTCTGTATTTCTTTTCAATTGTGTTTTTCTTAATTATGGTTTTCTCTACCTGCTCTTGTCTGTATAACACTTGGGGTAGTTTTTAAATGTGTTTTATAAATACATTTGATTTGATTTGAATGAACAATGGATGTTCTATGTAGATGAGGATATGTGCATAATGAATGTGCACTGAGGAAAAGATAAGAATAAGAATGTACAAGGAAATTGGAATGCCCCTCTCCTGTTGCACACTCCTATACATATCAATAGTAAAACACACCCATAGTCATGTTCCAAGTGTCAAGCTCACCGGTGATGTTATAGAGGCATCCATCAGTCTGCCATCGCAGGCAGAGCCAACGCTATGCAGATATTAATTACCCTGAGCTGAGATCCATCTCTCCACAGTTCTGTCTCCTTCTCCACGCTTGTCCAATCACATTTCTCACAGCCCATTATAAAGGACAAGGTGATACTCTGCTTTCCAAGGAGAGGAACACAAATTGAAATATCTTCTGTGTATCCAATATGCCTAGTCTTCTATAAATCTGCTCTTTGCATTTTTTCTCATTAGTAAATAAATAAACTAAATTTGTCCAATCGTCTTCTAAACCAAATAGGATGTTGGTGGACAGGTAACGCCACACATCTGACAGCAGGGATTTTATATGCCAAACAATTACAATACAGAGTTACCTAAGTTGTCTATGTGACAGTGTTTCATAAGGGTTTTATAGGGTCATAACAACTGATATCATAAAGTGCCCTGGAATATCTGCTGTTGTGTCAGACACGACAGTAGATGCGTCAATGTTAAGATGAAGCCCTCTTTATATCAAATAAATTATTTTGAAACAAACTAATTCAAAGTATTGAGAATGAAGCTAGACACTGCCCTGGATCAGACATCCACAGGCACCCCTGAGAGGGTTGATATTTTTATAATTACTGAATGATAATGGAGTTTGATTCCTCTTTTTTTTTTAGCTTTGCTTAACTTCTAGTCTGTGCTGTAAACAACACAATTATCAGGGTAGATTTACTATATTTTACTATTATTGTCCCTGCTATGAATCGTATCCTGGTTCTATTCATATTTTTGGATATGACATACAACATAAGAAACCTGGTCACTCAATATCCAACAAATGAGAGTTTCTGTCCTTTCTACCTACAGTAGGCTATATTATTCATAAATATCCAGGTTTCAGATCAGTACAGATTTTATCATTTCATATTTTCTTTAACTGATTAACAAGTATGTGACTGGTGTGAAGGACAAACCTGCACACTTACACACATACCCTGGTTATGAGTCTTATCCAGGTTATAATCTTATTAAAGATCAAATGTTTGCATGGATTATAAGAAATTATTTGGTTATTCATGTAACTTACTTTTGTGACCCATGTGAGCAAATGTCACATAGTGCCTCCACCAAGTGTGTCTGTAGACCCCTTTCATGACCAGGTGCAGTGTGACCATTGGGTTTATCTAACACTTATTGTGGAATGGATCGATAAATAGGTATTTGTATTGATACAAATGTCAAATATATAGTACAGGATGTCCATCTATATTCATTAGTAAATCACACAAAATTAGAACGAAAGAGAGAAACAAGATTTACTGAAATGCAAAGAAAAGTGAAGGAAAGTACGCCAACTGACAGTGTAATATATTTCAACCATTTGTAAACATCTGTCCCCATCTATGCATCACCCTGTATAATCTGTACTGACCCCTCGCTGTCATCATTCAGCCTGACCACACACCCGTATTCGCATATCCAACAGCGATGGGCTGATTTATCTCACGTCAGCAGCACTGTTTTGATGGTCGCTTTCATTTTCGAGCTGATGAAAGCACTACAGTAATGTGGTGGAATGAATGTTTTGTCCACTAGCTTCCACCATCAACTCAAATCGATGGGGCATGTAATTGGTGGCCACTTTGTGTGATTGCTAAGATAAACAGACATTGTTGCGGACATGGAAGATCAATGTCAGGCACAAAACAAGCGAGAGCGAAAGGGGGAGATAGTTATGGGCCGTCATATTCACCGACAACATACAGTAACTATCTCTGCTGACCGATTTTGCTGCTGTTACACACTGTGTGTCCATGTTACTATTTGACCACATTTCATTCAGTATTGTTTTAATCTCTGCAAAGGCCAATGGAATTCAGCACACACAAAATCATTTAATGTTTTATATGAACCGCAACCACATCTGACTGACAAATGTGGAAAAAAAACAGTATCCACCCAACAGTCAATGTTTTGGAACAGAGCATTTTATAAGAAAATAGACCTTGTTAATACTTTTTTTTATGTGAACTGAGCACAAGAGTACATTTCTACAATGACAGTTGTTCCTTTCCTATCTTTGTTGGGTGATAGCTGCAACATGATAAGAAGCAAAGCAGAAGAATCTCTTACATTTCTGTAAATAAAAGTGATGGCAGCATAAAGGCTAGTAAAAGTTAGTTTTTTCCTTGTACATATAATTTGAATGCATTGTGAGGCTAAGCTGAACAGTTGTTGGACCGATGCACAGTTTGAACAATCTGACAACATAGCTGGCATGGTAGTGGCTTACCTTGGTAGTGCAGCAGGACGAATCCGGAGTTGTGCTGTTGGTCGCTACGGAATCGGATGGAGATCTGGTTGCTCCAGCTGCGTAGTACAAGGCCCCTCATCAAGACTGACTCATTGGCAAGGATGAATGGTTCTCGGCCACCTGTATCCTCCACTGTCACCTGCTCCCCCTCCAACACACTCACATTTAGCACCTTAAAAAAAAGAGACCATGCCATATGATTACACATAGGCCTTTATTGCTGCACTTTTGCACATCATGCATGATCTCATGGTAGCATGTGGTTCACTGACTGGCTTACCCTCTTTCGGGTCTTTGCAGAGTAACACATTGCACAAAGAATTATCAAAGCTAACAGTCAGTGCATGATATTTTTAGATATTTTAGAATGAGCACATTTATTTATGTACAGCCTTTAAAAAGACCAATAGACGAGGTTCATCTTTACTTATAACTAGACCAACACTGAACATAAAAAAATCACGTTGCACACAAAACCGGTGACACACTGCTGACTTATGAGGTCTCAGTTCACACCAGATGGGATCTTTATTCAGCGCTGCTACTGTTGTTCCCATTTAAAGTAGTCTAACAAAGTTGTTCTTAAAAAATGGGTCACCCGCTGTGTTACTTTGCTCAGTTGTCTATCACAGTTGCGCAGGGATATGCTTGGTTTTGTAATTTCTTTGTTAACCTGCTCCCGGATTGTAGACATGTTTTTGAGTAATTGTAGAATCTGCCTGGGTCATTCCACTCGTGTTTTTCTGCATGATTGACTCATCCTCTTCCTGTGTTCTCCGTGTGTCCGTAAGCCACTCTGACAGCAGTGCTTTATGTCTTCAACAGGTTTGAACAGCATCTGCAGCTAAATCTGGTGAGGGAACCTCGGGAGGATTGCATGTAGTTAAACTGTCTTGATAATGGAGTGCTGACACATTCTGGAGCAACATCTGATTCATTCCCAACAGAACTAGGGAAGAGGAATGTTTATCCAACAACAGGTCGTGGTTATTATTCTGTATGATAAAAATAAAAATATTTCACCTTCCCTTGTGGCATATCTTAAATAATGTTGGCCTATGATACACTTTTATTGAAGCGAATAAGCTAATAATAATAATATGATGATGTTAAAGATTACTAAAACTCAAAATTACATTTAAATAGCTACAATTTAGGATTATCATACAGATGTATAAATAAATGTTGTTGTTCTGTGCTTGCTGCAACCAGCTCCTGTCTTGAAAGATAAGTGCACCATCAAAGCTAATTCAACCACATCTATCCCAAGCTCTCAGTGAAATTCATAACATGTCCTGAAAGCTACTGCTGTCATAGGCAATGGGCTCAGGTCTCAGGTATGCCATGAGGCAGAAAAAGGGTTGCCCTCCATAGGCTGATGTCCCTGAGGTAATATGTGTGCAGGAGTGTTAGTGCAACAGCCTGGAAAAGCTGAGACAGTGGGCAGGATGAGCACACTGCACAACAGAGACAGGAAAATGAATTTGGTCGGGTTGACTAACTGTCACTCAGTCGAAGGGGAGCTGACAATGAGCACAGAGAGGCTAATGGACACTCTGAGACTGAGCTTAGAGGTGACTTCTTCCTGAATGATCCATGAGGTCAGCCACATTGATTGATTAGATTTTTATCACAAGCTGAATTTAACGCAACACCACTCTGGAGGTTTTAAGACAAACTGAGAACACAGAGAGCAAACAGTAGATATTATATATAGCCAGACATCAGATATTTATTTGTGTGTGTGTGTGTGTGTGTGTGTGTGTGTTTTAATACAAAATTGTGCATCTTGTCATTGTAGTTTAGGTAGTTTAGTTGTTGCAGGCCCCTTAAACAGCAGTGTCACAGTGAGTAATAAAGGGGATGTCACATGATTTTAGAATCCCTGTTTCTCAAGGGCAACGGCAATGACAAAGCCTTAGGCACAGCACTTTTTTTTTTTTACTTCAGCCTTTTTTCTCTGTGTTAATATAGAGGGCTTGGATGTTTTGCAAATCGGGTTATTTCGCCTACTTGGTAATCTTATAACTTCCTAATTCACGCCACAGAGCAGCACAGTAATTCTCCTTCAATTTAACATTCATACTTATATATTCATAAGACCGAAATGCAGACAATGTGGAATTGCAGTTTCTCTTTGTGGCTCAATCGTCTGGCAAATTCAGACAACCATGGAGACTCAATTCTAAATTGCATGCATAATTGATTATATTGTGATCAAATGTTGATTGTTTGCATTGGAGTCAGATTTCAAAATTTTCAAGAAACATTTGCTATCAAATCTCACAACTTATTTCTAAAATCATTATCCTGTTAGGCGTTACTGTAGCTTCCACCATTATGTTAAGCTGATGAGTCAATTAGATGATATTCCACCATGGTTCATACATTTTTTAATCAACCATCTCTCCAAAAATCAGGCTAGAAATCAAATGTGCATCTTGCTCAAGCCCTCCGTAGAACTGGTGGAAAGCCTCTTATCCTAGCTCAGTTCACCCACCCCTAGTGGCTCCAAAGATGGTCGTCTGTCTATAATTTGAAAACAATACAATTAAAATGTACTCTTCAAAGAATGTCTTGTAGTATTAAAGAACTGAAGAGGTGAGTGGGGGGGGGGGGGACATTTAAATTGGACTTTATTCTTGATATAAACCAAGCGATAAAAACAAGTTGTCTTTTTTCTTTGTTCTGTTTTTAATTAATCTAAATGCATTAATGGAATAGTCAAAAAAATATTTCATTTCATGTTGTGTCCTGCTTGTTGTATATACTTTTATTTTTCCCCACCTGAACTACTTTAATGCACTTTATGCTGGTATCAGTCAAAGCTTCCTCCACTGATCCCAATTCGTGCAGAACATTGCTGCTAGAATTATAACTAGCACCAAAAAATATAGACATATTACTTCTGTACTAGCCAACTTATGTTGGCTCCCTGTTCTCCATTGATTTTAACATTTTACTGCTGACTTTCAAAGCATTAAATTGCTTTGCTACACACACTTGTCAGATTTGCTGACTCCTTACATTGTGTCACTGTAGATTGATGGATGGGGCTTAGCTAGTCAGCTAGTAACCAAGGGCAACCAGGCCTGTGTAGATATAGTCCCAGGGCTTTCGAACATTTTACCGATTGACATCAGACTGCTTGTGTTTGAGTCCCCTTAATCATTAATATGACTGTGTGATTGCTTTTATTTCGTAATTATTTAATTGTATTGATTTTTATCTGTACACCACTTTAAATAAAGTTTAAAGTGATTTCCAAGAAAAAGAATTAAGTTAATACAAAACTGTTGCCCTAACCGTTTCACCAAAACATTTTGTGTGACTATTGGGTTTTTTTGACTAATGTTCATCAGAATGCTGATTGTAGAAAATGATCTTGAACTTATAAAGACCTCTATAATATCTATTTGTTATTTAGTAAACACCACACTGGGCAGGTGTTTATGGTGTTGTTTCCATCCACTGTATGGTACACACTCTGGTATTCAGTGAGGTCAAACAGATGTGGTTCTGTCTGTGGCCACTTGGTTTACATATACCAGGGGGGCTCATGAAGGACAGGTGAGCCGATAGTGGACAGTGAACATTTGGACTGATAGATAGTTTGGCCCAGGAGCGCCCTATCATCTGTCATCCACCCTGGGACCTGTCAGTGCAGCCAGCAACAGCTGTCCTACCTCAATTATGAATCATTGGCCATGTCAGGAGACATCAGACTGCCTTATCTTCACCAGTGCTGCAGCCAAATGCCCAGAGGGACTTCTTTCTCACTGTCTCACACACGCATACGTACATGTACGTTTGTGCACGTATGCACACACACACACACGTGTGTTCCTGTGGACTGTAATGAGAGCAGGCTTATTGTAACTTCTTGCTGGAATCTCTGCCTCAGCAGACACATTTGTGGGACTGGGGATTTGGCTGACTAAGCACACTTCTGCACCAACCACAACATTATCAGAAATGCTGTCTAAACATTGTGCTGTTCCATTTTGAGAATTGTGTTCAGAGAAGAAGGAATGTCTTTTAGTGTTTTTTTTTTAATACAGTTTATGAAAGGAAAGCTCTAAACCATGCAAGAAATATAAGACTGTCCTTTGGGTAGGTGCTCTTTGACTCCAAGCGTTTCTCCCCCGCCCCCTCAACTGTTCCAATGAAAATATTTCCAGAGACCAATCAAAATGAGAGGACAAGAGGAGAGAGGGTCATCTCTCTCCTCTAGCCAGTATTTTCAATCAAACCACTATAATGAACAGACCATCCTGCAAGGCCACGGTACAATCGACAGGCCTAGGACTGCACTAGGAATACAAAAGATGGGGGAAATTCTCTAAAATAAATGTTTCAAAGGATAACAACATTTGCAGGATTGAATACCTTGATCTTTCTGTGTTTACCATGACCTTTGTTGAACAGGGAGCTTCCAGTGTGCCGCAGTGTTAAACTATCTGAGTGAACAGTGTGAAGAAGTGAAGATCCATCTTATCGCATCCAAACAGAAAGCAGCCTGGCATGGCTTTTAATCTGTAACTATAGAGTCACCACTGGAATCTGACAGTTAGTTCCAAATAGGAGATAAACTAAATAATCGGTATCGTGCAATTAGGGAGTTAATGTCTACTTAAAAAAGGAAGAAAAAAAAACACTCAAAATGCAGTTTAGGCATGAAAAAATACACAATCTGTCAAACAAACTTGACTTTTTACACATGGCTAGCAATCTTTATTCACTCGTTTATTAATTTATCCGTAAGTACACAGTGTGAGTTAACTGTCCACAGAGGCTGCCTCTTACTGATAATTTACTGTTGAAAACATCTGGTGGTGCTCTGCAATGAACATTTACACTGACTCACAGGAGCCATTGCTGATGCAGAAATGAGCAGTATGTAATCAAAATGATCCCACTATACATGGAAATTAAATGACCCTGCTGCTGGGGGCAATAAATCAACAGCCATTGGACTCACCAGCTGCAGTGTCATCATTACTATGATAAAAACCTACTGGCTTATGCAGTGGAGCACACTGGTAGCGTACCTGCCTCATCGCCCCATATCTAAGGCTCACATTTGAATAATCTTGGTACACCACATCCAGTTGGTGTTGTTGTGTATCTCCTGATAAATTCATACAAAAAAAGAATTCTCCCAGTGCTCAT